TTTTTCAATGCACCAATTAGAGTTTTTCAATGCACCGATCACATTTTTTTCACTGCACCAATCAGTTTTTCAATTTACCAGCCAGAGTGTTCAATGCACCAATCAGTTTTTCAATGCACTAATCAGTTTTTCAATGCACCAATTAGAGTTTTTCAATGCACCGATCTGAGTTTTTCAGTGCACCAATCTATTTTTCAATGCACCAATCTGAGTTTTTCAATGCACCAATTTTAGTTTTTCAGTGCACCAAATGAGTTTTTCAATGCACCAATTTTAGTTTTTTAGTGCACCAATCTGAGTTTTTCAGTGCACCAATCTGAATTTTTCAATGCACCAATTTTTGTTTTTCAGTGCACCAATATGAGTTTTTCAATGCACTAATCTAAGTTTTTCAATGCACCAATCAGTTTTTCAATGCACCAATCTGTTTTTCAATGCACCAATCTGAGTTTTTCAATGCACCAATTTTAGTTTTTCAGTGCACCAATATGAGTTTTTCAATGCACCAATCTAAGTTTTTCAATGCAACAATCAGTTTTTTAACGGACCAATTTGAGTTTTTCAATGCACCAATCTGAGTTTTTCAGTGCACCAATGTTTTTAAATTCACCATTTTTTCAATGCGCATGCCAGATTTATTTACGCACCAGTCTGAGTTTTTCAATGCACCAAGAAACTTTTTTTCTTGTATAAACAACTTAAACAATATAGTGTATACCATTTATTCTAAGAAAACCCTGCGTTTTAATTTAACAGAAACAACTAGTCAAGTCACACAGTAACCCCCAGCAGTACATTACTCTGTCAGCTCTCTCCATCTCATAAGAGTGTATTGAGCTTGAGTCCATCCCAAAGTGTGTGTATGTGTGTGTGTCCTCCACCGTTTCCCCTCAGAGACCCCTCAATGAGGCTTTGTTCTCCTCTCCTGCTCACTGAAGTTCACAGGGTTCGCTTGAGCTAAAAAGGAGAACGGTGGAGAACAATTCATGCATGATTTTTTCCCAGCCAGAGTAAAGGGAGAATGTACTTTTGTGTTTGTGCTGATCCTCTGAGGTATTTTTGCTGGTTTGAAGCTTTCTAAAGGGCAGCCATCAGCTTGCAGACCTCAAAAGCATGTGTGAGATCTTTGTTTCTGGTTCACGCTTATGTAACATGTGCTGTGTTACTGTATTTGTGCCATTGTCTGCTGTGTTTGAGGCCGTTTGCTCTAGTTTGGGCCCCCTGTGGCGTTGGGGGAGTCTCTGTGGCATTTCAGACCTTTAGAGATCACACATGCACACACACATACAGTACATACACACATATTGTGGTGGATAAAATACACAAATCAAGGCCTTAAGGACACAAACCCAAACTATACTGATAACTGAAATATACTGATATCATGCTGATAATTAATGATAAATAATCTCTGCAAACAATTGAAAATAACTAAATATGCTATATAACCTTCAATCTAAAACATAATTTAACAAAATGTAAACAGAATGCTATATATATAAATATATATATATATATATATATATATATATATATATATATATATATATATATATATATATATATATATATATATAGACATATATGATATAAAGATTTATCAATATATATACTCACTCTAAACGGACCATTCAAATCAATGAGTCATTAACTGTAGACTCATTCTTTAATGGATCATTTGAATCAATTTGAATCAGTTAGTTGTTAACTGGAGATTTGCTCTGATAGGATCATTTGAATCAGTGAGTTGTTAACTAGAGACTCGCTCCAAATGGATTGTTGGGATCAACTAGTCATTAACTGTATAGTCACTCTAAATGGATTCTTCAAATCAACGAGTCATTAATTAAATACTTACTCTAAATGAACCATTTAAATCAATAAGTCATTAGCTATAGACTTATTCTGAATGAATAATTTGAATCAGTTAATACTTCACTAGAGACTCACTCTAAATTGATCATTGGAATCAGTGAGTTGTTAATTGGAGACTCGCTCTGAATGGATCATTTGAATTAGTGAGTTGTTAACTGGAGATTTGCTATGAATGGATAATTTGAATCAGTGAGTTGTTAACTTGAGATTTGTTTTGAATGGATCATTTGAATCAGTGAGTTGTTAACTGGAGACTCGCTCTGAATGGATCGTTTGAATCAGTGAATCATAAACTGGAGACTCGCTCTGAATGGTTAGTTTGAATCAGTGAATCATTAACTGTTGACTTGTCCTGAATAGACAGTTTAAATCAGTGAATCATTAACTGGAGACTCACTCTGAATGGATCATTTAAATCAGTGAATCATTAACTGTTGACTTGCCCTGAATGGATTGTTTGAATCAGTGAGTCATTAACTGTTAACTTGCTCTGAATGGATCGTATGAATCAGTGAACCATTAACTGGAGACTCGCTCTGAATGGATCATTTGAATCAGTGAGTTGTTAACTGGAGACTCGCTCTAAATAGATCGTTTGAATCAGTGATTTAATAACTGCTGACTTGCTCTGAATGGATCGTTTGAATCAGTGAATCATTAACTGTTAACTTGCCCTGAATGGACCGTTTGAATCAGTGAATAGTAAACTGGAGACTCACTCTGAATGGTTAGTTTGAATCAGTGAACCATTAACTGCTGACTTGTCCTGAATAGATCGTTTGAATCAGTAAATCATTAACTGGAGACTCACTCTGAATGGATCATTTGAATCAGTGAATCATTAACTGTTGACTTGCCCTGAATGGATTGTTTGAATCAGTGAGTCATTAACTGTTAACTTGCTCTGAATGGATCGTATGAATCAGTGAATCATTAACTGGAGACTCACTCTGAATGGATCATTTAAATCAGTGAGTCATTAACTGTAGACTCGAGTTTGAATCAGTGAGTTGTGAGTCATGAACAGATGCAATCCTTAAGTTGTGTAAATGTTTACTAAAATGAAATGTAATGTACAAGTGCTTTAACAGGTCCTTATGTACAGTAGTGAAGTGTAGATTGTGTGTCTCTGTGTTTGCAGCACATCGGTCTGCCAATGTTTTCTGCCACTAGTCGCCCCAAACGCATCTATCAGATGACACACGGAGTCCTGAATCTCCCCCGAAACCCACTGCTGGACTGGACCTTCGGACACTCGCTCATCAACTGCCATGTGGAGCATCACCTTTTCCCATTCCTCTCCGACAACATGTGCCTGAAGGTGTGTGTTCATACATCCAGCAGAGCCTTTTCACTTTTCTGGGTTTTTCAGTAGTGAAATGGTCAAAGTTGGTAAACTCAGAGTACAGTTACAGTTTTTCTCGATTGCTTGGATGCAGTTGTCAACTGAAACTCCACATTTTCAAAACAGTAAACACACAGGCCTAAACAGCGGCACTCATGGTCAAAATGACACATTTTGCTTGCAAAAGGCACATATCGTGTCAAAACATTTAACATATGCAACAAAAGCTTGCAAACAAGTATATGAGCTCTTTCAATTAATCATTACACAATGCACAACAAAATACAAAATACAGAACTCAAAATGCACCACCATTGCTTGCCATTGTAGCTTATAGCCAATGGCATTTGTTGTCTCTATTTGGGCTGTCAAATTCGCCTTTTTGCAAAGAATTGGATCAAGAAAAAGATGTGCTTTGATTGAATATATATTGAATTCATGACATTTTTCAAACTGTGGCTGAAAACTGAAATACTGTATATAAAAAAAAAACAGACAAAAGTAATAAAATACTGTAAATATTAGAGAAAACACATGTAAACTAATATACAGTCAAATCTATTGGGAGTATAGGACATAGCCATATTGACCTCCTCCATCAATGCTGGCACAGAACAACACAGACCTTCCATCGTTTTTATAAGGTTTGCAGAATGATGGCTAATTGAAGATTTGTGTGAAGGAGTGTCAAACCGGTGCTTCAGTGATTTCACACTGATGTTGGTAGTTTTTAATAGTTAGGAACAGATGGATTCTGTTTGGTTACCAAAACTAAAACAATGGAGTTTGGACTGCTTGAATGACATCTGTGTTAACTGTTTGGAAAAATGGTAGGGAAAATGTGTCAACCCAATGAGAAAGAGTTTACACATTTGCAAGACCGGTCCTCTGCTCTGCTGGGATAGTGATAATGAAAATGAAGAGGAACCTAGTTTCTTTAACCAGGTCAAAGCAAACTAGAAAAACTGTAATGGGAGAGTACAACAATTCATTATTTTACAATCCTAATTGCTGAAATAATCAAATAAAAACTCCATGATAGTGTTATCAAGACTTTCAGAAAAAGGAACACAATAGTGTGAGACTGATAACGGCAGCCAGAAGAGAGAATAATATCAGATTTACTGTCCTGCACCCACAGAAGCTGCATTACAAACACCTCAAACAAGTGGTGCTTAGTTTTTTGTCATTTTATGCAAAGATGATATAATTGGGCATGGGCAATAGTGTGATCAGGGGCGCAACTACACATTTACTGAGGGGTATGCGGGTTCAAATTTTGTGTGATCCCTCTTATTTTGGCAAACTAATAATTAAATTAATTAATTAATAATAAAAGACAAATTTTCAGATTAACCTTATAACTTTTGACACTATGTATGATTTGACAGTTTATTTTGATAAAAATAAAAGCAAATCTAAACAGTTACATCTACATGAACACTTTCGGCTGTGTGACTGCATGTTATTGTGTTAAATGATTTTGAATTAAACAATAACAATGTTATATTTTTATAAAATGCAATATAATTTTTTTTAACAAAACATATTTATTTATCTTTATTATTTAAAACTTTTAATAAGGGTAATTTTAAAAATAGTTTTGGCACAATGGCGCCCCCCCCATGTGTGGCGCCCCTATGCGCCGCATATACTGCATACCCCCTTTTTGCGCCACTGCGTGTGATCTGTCAGACGTAGCACAATGCTCATTCAGTAAAGGCACAGCTAAACAGATGTGTGTTCAGTCTTGATGTGAATGTGCTTGTTGGAGCACATCTAGGCCTCATTGCGTGGAAATCATACTAAAACATTGTGTACGCACAAAGCTGTAAATGTGCGTACGCAGAAAAAAATTCAGATGCAACATGCAAGAGCACAAAACCCCTCCCTGCCTCCTCCCCTGTATGAATATGCTAATGACTCTACTTTGGCGAAACCAAACGAAAAAGCAAGCCAAAAGAGAAACTTTGAACAGAATGTGAATTGTAGGTGCTCCTTTCAGAGGTAGACCGGAGAAAAGCGGTGTTATTTGCAAGTTTGTCCTCCGGAATTAACAACAAAAGAAAAAAATAGAGTGGGAGAGTTTAGCTGATGCGGTTAACACAGTTGGGTCTGAACATCGCACTGAGTGAACTAAAGAAGAAATAGTGTGATTTATGGGTGTAAAATGTTGAATCATTCTTAACTGTCTCTGTGGGGCAACTCGTGAAACGCATGTCAACATGTTTTGACATGTTCGAGCATGAACTCGGTTCGAATCCAGCGTCTGATGAACTCTTTTTTCTTTTTCCCCTGCTACATATCAGATTTTGCCAACTATTTATCACGAGAAAGACTAGTAGGAATCATTAATAAGTTTGTGCATCATATTTTATTTGCACATTTATTGAATGGAAATGTTTCTTATTCACGCATGCAAATTCATCTTCAGATAGTGTCTTTATAGCAATGTGCGTGCAGTAGATAGCTCAGATTACATTGGGAAAACAGGCGACCGCTGCAAATTGTGCTTTAATGTTTAGCTGGTCAAATGTATGGTATGGAAACCTTATATACCTGCTAGATGAACCCGTCTCATACAGCTGCCATTGCAAGGCTCAGACACTTTGTAGAGAGGAATTTAACACAACTGCCTCTAGGAGTCGCCAATGGAAATAAAACAGACACTCAAAAAATGTGCGTACGCCAGCCATGAAGCTGCCGTGGAGCTGCGCACATTCCCACGTTCAGTTCATCGTTAGTAAATCCAAACGTGAGCGATTCTGAGCGTGAAACCTGGCGTACGCAAAGTTTTTGTGCGTACGCAGCGTTGATACATGAGGCCCCTGATCATTTCTGGAAGCTGATTCCAGCAGTAGGGGGCGCTGTTAGTCGATAAAGGCCGATTCACCCTGCTCTGACTGAACTCTTGGAATTCCTAGTTTATATGATCCTAAAGATCTGAGTGATCTGTTGGGTTTGTATTCAGTCAGCATATCTGTAATGTATTGAGCTCCTAGGCCATTTAGTGATTTATAGACCAGTAATAATACTTTAAAATCTATTTTGAATGTAGCTGGGAGCCAGTGTAGAGACCTGAGGACAGCTGTGATGTGCTCTGATTTTCTTGTTCCGTCAATGCTAAACTAAAGCATTAATGAAACAAACTAAAGCTAAAGTGATATATTCAGCAAATAGTATTAAAATAAAGAGTCATTTTAAATGCTAAACTGTAATAGCATTGATTTGCAGTGCTGATGAAAGTGTACCTGTGTGTGTGTGTGTGTCTCAGGTGAAGCCCATTGTGTGTGAGTATCTTCAGGAGAAGAAGCTTCCGTATCAGGAGGACGCATACCTGTCCCGGCTGCGTCTCTTCTTCAACAACTATCAGCAGCTCATGGTGTTCGCTCCCCCAATCACTGAACTGGTGGGAGTGCAGTGAGGATGAGGATGAAGAAGAAAAAAATAACCAACCTCCAATTAGCTTAATGACATTATTGAATGTAAAGATCGTTTTATGGTGATGTGAAAAAGTGTTTGCCCCCTTACTGATTTCTTATTTATTTACACTTCACATTTTAATGTCTCAGAGAATCAAACAAACTTAAATATGAGTCAGAAAGTTTTACATGAAGGTTTTTATTATTATAAAAAACAAAAGCAAGAACTGGTTCAAGTCCTGTCTGGGACCTTTGTGGAGTTTGCATGTTCCCTCCCGTGTTGGTGTGGGTTTCCTCCGAGTGCTCCGGTTTCCCCCACAGTCCAAACACATGCGCAATACGGCAATTGATGAACTAAATTGGCTGTTGAGTATGAAAGTGTGTGTGTGAATGAGTGTGTATGGGTGTTTCCCAGTACTGGGTTGCAGCTAGAAGGGCATCCGCTGTGTAAAACATATGCCGGATAAGTTGACGGTTCATTCCGCTGTGGCGACCCCTAATAAATAGGAGACTAAGCGGAAGGAAAATTAATGAATAAATGAAAATACATACGGGAAAAATAAGAGTAGACACTTTTTCACACCACTGTATTTGCTGACCTCAGATCATTGAAAAAACCTCACTGCAGCTCTCGTCTTATATGAGCTCTGACCTGAGATCAGCTTTTTGTCTGAACGCTAAAAAGAGGAATTCAATGCTTTAACTTTGTGACAGAGTTTAGTGAGCTGCAGGAAGCTTTAATTCAGCATCTTAACTAAAATGAATATATTAATAAAGATTTTTTAAAAATGCATGAGATTGGCCAGCTAATAGAGTATGTTCCCAGAAAACACTCAGATCAGATTCCCAGATTACACTCTGACACGTTTTTCTCAAAGTTATTAAAGTTACAAAGTCTTGCGGTTATTATGAATATAGAAGATTTGTTTACATTTTTTATGTCTGGTTGCATTAACACTGTTCAAACCCGGTCAGCTAACAGCAAAACTTGTGGTGATAAATCTTATTTTTTTCAGATTAAAGTCATCTTAAAGTAATCTTCCTTATTGGGTAGCCTATTATGCAGAGCAAGTGCTTTTAAGCCACTAATAATAAATTATTATTACTAATAATTATAATTTTACATCCGGTAAAAGGTTTATGTGACTTTTTAATTTCATATGGTTTCTTAAACAGCATTGACGTTATAATTTAATTAACTTTAATGAGACTTTCATTCACTCATTTAGTATTTCAAGCGTAAAATGAGATTAAAGACACACGTTATTACACAAACCTCGTCAGTAGCAGCAGGCGAGCGCTGAAACTTCGTTGAAACTCACTGGCCACTTTATTAGGTACACCTGTTCAACTGCTTGTTAACGCAAATTTCTAATCAACCAATCGCATGGCAGCTGCTCAGTGCATTTAGGCATGTAGACATGGTCAGGATGGCAACAGTAACTCAAATAAGCACTCGTTACAACCGAGGTCTGCAGAAGAGCATCTCTGAACACACAACATGTCCAACCTTGAGGCGCATGGGCTACAGCAGCAGAAGACCACACCGGGTGCCGCTCCTGTCAGCTAAGAACAGAAAACTGAGGCTACAATTCACACAGACTCACCAAAACTGGACAATAGAAGATTGGAGAAACGTTGCTGCTCTGATGAGTCTCCATTTCTGCTGACACATTCGGATGCTCAGGTCAGAATGAAAGCATGGATCCATCCTGCCTTGTATCAGCGGTTCAGGCTGGTGGTGGTGTTGTAATGGTGTGGGGGAGATTTTCTTGGCACACTTTGGGTCCATTAGTACCGATTCAGCATCGTGTTAACGCCACAGCCTACCTGAGTATTGTTGCTGACCATGTCCATCCCTTTATGAGCACAGTGTCTCCATCTTCTGATGGCTACTTCCAGCAGGATAACACACCATGTCATAAAGCTCAATCATCTCAGACTGGTTTCTTGAACATGACAATGAGTTCACTGTACTCAAATGGCCTCCACAGTCCCCAAAGCTCAATCCAATAGAGCAGCTTTAAGATGTGGTGGAACGGGAGATTGGCATCATGGATGTCCAGCGACAAATCTGCAGCAACTACGTCATGCTATCATGTCAATATGGAGCAAAATCTCTGAGGAATATTTCCAGTAGACTGTTTAATCTATGCCACGAAGGATTAAGGCAGTTCTGAAGTCAAAATGGGTCCAACCTAGTACTAGTAAGGTGTACCTAATAAAGTGGCCGGTGAGTGTAAATTTCTATATTTTAAAGAACAATTAAATGGCGCAGAACAATTAAATTAATTGAAGTGCTTCGTGTCTGGTCTGAGACCCACTTTATTTCGAATATCAATGAGGCAGTGAAGATCATTCATTTTGAACTAAACCAGATCTTAAATGTGGCGAATTTGTAATGGTGAGACCTTCACCGGAAGCACTTGAACAACTAATAATTACAGTTTAAGCACTTCTGGCCACTGCTCTGTAATATTGTCTGGCAAAAATAGATTCTGCATCAATCAAATGCCCTTTTAATTTACCAAAACATTTGATGCTACTAAATATTTGCAGAATGAGGAGATGTTTGTGTCACATAACAAAGATCTTTTAAATATCTTTATTAATACAAAGAGCATTCAGAAATAGCATTGTTACAGCATGAGAACATTAGCAAAACATCGCTGGGTGTTTTCTCAGTAGCCTATATGTTGCATAATTATGCTGCTTTTAAAATTGTTGGCCAAATGAAAGCGCACTGAAGGGGATTTTGCTGATCTTTTTGAAGCACTTCTCAATGCTGTCTAGGTAGGGAGCTTGATAGATGAACGCATACGGAGACAGGAGGACTGATTTCTTTTTTTATTAAAGTTGTAGATAGACATTTACATTTGCTAACAACAGTCCTATAATCTGAGAACAATATTAATGTAGCGCAAAGTAAATATGCGTACACAGAACTGTAATCAATAATAACAATGCAGTTACAAGGCCTAATTAATCAGATTCACAGGATTGCACTGGTAATTACGCACTGATTTTTCCAATGGTATCTGGATGCAGCCTTGATGATGCAAGCTGAGGCTGCATATCTCACTGTCTGACACAATGCATTCAAGGGAGTTAATGATGTCACTGTGTGGGGCAGGCATGGTGCTGGCACAGCATTCTGTTTCCAGGATGAAATTGAAGACTGGGGAGGGAAGGTGCTTTGACTTGTCATGGACGAAAATAAAGGGGGGGGGGGGGAGGAGGAGTGGTGGGCGTTAAGTTGTTTGGGCCCCTAATAATGTCTCTGGGGGCCCCAAAACTGTGTGGACCCTTAGAATCATCCTAACCTCCCTAACTAGGGGTGGGGTTAGGTGAGCACATTAAAAAGCAATGGATGCAGCCTTTATGATGCAAGCTGAGATTGCATTACTCAGCGATGCAATGTCAGACACAATGCACACAAATGGGGCTATTGATGTCACTGTGATGGGTAGGGTTTGGGGTGGGGTTACGTGAGCCCTTTAAAAAGCATTGGATGCAGCCCAGATTGCACTGCACCAGGTCTGCAACCAGACCCCTCTCGATGCAGCTCAGATTGCACTGCACCAGGTCTGCAGCCAGACCCCTCTCGATGCTGCTCAGATTGCACTGCACCAGGTCTGCAGCCAGACCCCTCTCGATTTTTCAGCTTTTTAACCAAAATCACATTTGATTTGGCTTTTACTGAATGCACATGAATGTTAATGCGATGTGTGTGTGTGTGTGTGTGTGTGTGTGTGTGTGTGTGTGTGTGTGTGTGTGTGTGTGTGTGTGTGTGTGTGTGTTTGAGAGACGGCGATGTTCTCTTTTGAGTGTTGAAATGAACATTATGCACTGATTTTACTGACCAAATAAATTGAAGTAAACACTCAACTGTTTTGATTTGTTGACTATGCTGGATATTTATATACAATAAATGACTTTTTCTACCTATTTCAGCGGCATTAAACTTAATGCAAATAGCAGTCTGGCAAACTGCAAACCCTGCTAAATAA